TCCTGGGCCATCTCCAGTTATCCTGATGAATATCTGGCCACTGGACCCAGATAGCTCTGGAGGAGAAAGTGAGGCTGGTTACTTTGCACGGGTTTCCCTCCGTCAAATCAAAGTCAATTGCAAGTCATGTTATTATCTCCCTGATGTCACGGTCTTCTTTGAGAACAAACCACATAACCTTTGGAGTATACTATGAAGAATGAATTCTCACTCAGAAATGGTTCTTCCTAATTTGTCATAATTAAGTATTGGTGGAAGTTAAGCTTCTTCATCTTTAGGATAACATTATGCAACAGTGAGCATAATTTTTTTTTAAGACTTGTTAGGCTATGTTGTACTGAACCAAATATAGGTTTCCTACTGTAGGGATATACTTTGTCATGTTAAATTTTTTAAAGTTAGCTTTTCTCAAAGAATATTTTGGAAGGCCTGTCAGTAAGTTGAGCTTCTTCTGCCTACAATATCATGTTCTGTATTTCAAAACATGACCAGAACCATTCCCTACTAAAATTGGATACTGTCATTTGCAACATTAATGTTCTCCCACTGACTGTACACCCACATTGAAATGCAAATATTTGTACTGAGGTTCTTTAAAGAATAAAAGAGCTATTATTCATTGCAATGGATTAATTTTTTTTCTCAAGGCATAATGAGAAAAAAATCTGATTTGGAGGGACAGCTGATACTAGCAACAATTCAAAACGCTATTTATTGGCAGGAAATTCGATTAAAAAAACATTTGTTTCAAATATCTGCTTTATAAGAAATCACTTTATGATATGCCATAAAGAGAGTAAAATGATGAATTTTACATGGTTAGTAAGATCTGAGCATAGTGAAAGCCTAACTTGAGTCAGGCAGCTGTGGCAAATATTAAAGGTATTAGTTTAGATTTTCTAAAGTGAAAATAAGTTCTGAGACAATCATCATTACTGGGATGCTTGTTGGGTTTCTGAAGTTTTTTAGACTGAGACACAGCTTACCCGCCTCACTACAGGTCAGAGAATTATTATACTAGCATAGCAACTTTTATTTCAATTGGTAAGCTATTTGATTTAGAAAATCTTCAGCTTCGATTATTATCCTTCAGTAAAGGTTATTCGTTTGCTACTTGTACCTTATGCATATACACACATGCCCTTTAAAAAATCAGTCATTCAGCAAATCTTTATTAAAGTGTCTATGATGTTGTAGGCACTGTACTAGAAACAGTGATAAAGAGACAAAGTAAAATAGGTGTACACAAAACAGATACCAGTTGATTGGGGCAGGAGGCTTAAGACCTGGACAGATTGGGGAAGGCTTTTTATAGACGCTTGAGATAAATCTAGAAAGAAACTAGAGAATCTTAAGAGGTAGAGGTGAGGAGGCAAAAAAGCCTAGACTAGGGTGGTGGCTTTATGAAGATAGAGGAAGGATAGATGTGAGAGATATTGTGGAGATAAGATTTGGTAAGTGATTGGCAATGTGGGATGAATGAGAATGAGTAGTTGGGGTAACTCAGGTTGCAGGCCTGGGTGACTAGGATGGCATTGCCCTTAAGAGTAATAGGGTTGTTTGAGTATTTTATTTCTTCTTCTGTTAATCTGGATAATTTACATTTTTGTAAATATTCATCCCTTTCATTTAGAGTTACAAATATTATATGGCCATGTAGAAATATAAACAGTTTAACCTTATTGAACCTCATGTTTTATCTTTCTTATTTCTTGATTACCTTTTTATGTTTTCCTTCAGTCTTGCATTTGGAGATCAAAATTTTTATTCAGCTCTGGTCTTTTAATTAGAAATGCTTGAAAATCCTCTGTTTTGTTAAGTGTTCATTTTTTCCCCTGAAGGATTATATTCAGCTTTGCTGGATAGGTGATTCTTCATTGTAATCCTAATTCCTTTGTCTTCCAAAATGTCATATTCCCAAGTCCTCCAGTTCTTTAATGTGGAAACTGCCAGATCCTGGGTAATCCTGACTGTAGCTCCACGATATTTGAATTGTTTCTTTTTGGCTGCTTATAGTACTTTCTCCTTGCTCTGTGAGCTCTGGAATATGGCTATGATGTTCCTGGGAGTTTTCATTTTGGGATCTCTTTCAGGTGCTAATTGGTAAATTCTTTCAATTTCTGTTTTTCCCTTTTGTTCAAGTATATCAGGACAGCTTTTCTTGATAATTTCTTGAAAGATGTTGTCCAGACCTTTTTTTTTTTAAATCACAACTTTCAGGTAATTCATTACTTCTTCTTCTTCTTCTTCTTTTTTTTTTTTTTTTTTTTATTTTTTGCCTTCTTTTGGTGAGACAGTCAGGGTCACACAGCTAGTAAGTGTCAAGTATCTGAGGTCAGATTTGAACTCAGGTCCTCCTGACTCCAAGGCTGGAGCTCTATCCACTGTACTACCTAGCTGCCCCATAATTCATTACTTCTTAAATGATCTCTTCTAGATCTATTTTCCAAGTCAGTTGTTTTTCCAATGAGAAATTTCACCTTTTCTTCAGTTTTTTAATTTTTTAAATTTTGTTTTATTGTATCTTGATGTCTCATGGAGTCATTGGATTCCATTTGCCCAATTCTAAGTTTTAAGGAATTATTTTCTTCAGTGAGCTTTTGTACTTCCTTTTCCATTTGGCCAAATCTATTTTTTTAGGGAGTTATTTTCTTTGGTGAATTTTTGTGTATCTTTGTCCATGCTGTTGACTCTTTTTTCATGATTCTCTTGTATTACTCTCATTTCTTTTCCCAATTTTTCTTCTACTTCTCTAATTTGCTTTTTAAAATTCTTTCAAAACTTTTCTAGGAGTTCTTTTTGGGCCTGAGACCAAATTATATTTTGCTTTGATGCTTCATATGTAGCCATTTTAACACTATTGTCCTCTTTTAAGTTTGTGCCTTGATCCTCTGTGTCACCATAGTAACTTTCTGTAATCAAATTCTTTCTTTTTTTGTTGTTTCTTTTCTTTTTTTTTTGGCTCATTTTTTTCTGCCTATTTTGTGCCATGATATTTTCATGTGAGAGTTGGACTGTAGTTCTGCACTGCCCCAAGCTTCTTGTGCTGGTGCTCAGGGTCTTGCTGCTGGCTTTCACTAGACTTCAGAGCCTAACTTCTGGTTTGCATTGGTTGAGAGATCTCTCTGCTGACCTGCCTCAGGTGTGGGGCATTGCTGCTGGGTTGCTATGGAAACAGGGCCTTTCTGCTGGCTGGCATGGGGGAGCGATCTTATTGCTGGTCTGCCCCAGGGGTAAGGCCTCACTGTTGATCAGCAATGGGAGTGGGGTCTCACTGGTGGATTGCCCCTGGCTCAGAACCTTGCTGCAGACCCCCAGCTATGAAGCTGACCGTTGCTGCTCTGAGACCTAGTTCTCCTACCACCGCAGTAAGGTAGACCTGCTGTACTGGCAAACTGCTTCCCTGCTCCTAGACCAGTTCTGAGTCAGTTTTCAAGTTAGTTAGAGGGGAATTTTGGAGAGCTACAAGGATTTCCTTCCTCACTGTCTTATCTTATCACAACAGAAGTCCAATTGAAGGATTTTTAAGGAAGTGGGAGACTTGGCCCTGTTTGTAGGCCACTAGGATAGGATAGGATGTAGATAGAAAGAGATTGAAGATTATAGCAAGAGGAGAGATGGTTGTGATCTTTTCTGCTGGAAAGTTTGGGGTATATGCAATAAAGGGAGGGGTTGGCCTTGGTGAAAAGAAGGAGCTACCTCACCAAAGACTAGAATAAAGGAGAAGAGCACTGAAGAATTGCGTGATTTAAAGAGGAGAAAGAAGGGAGCTCATAACAAAAGGCCTCTATTATCTCAGTAAAAAAAAAAATTCCAATAAAAATTGCAAGATAGGTAACTTCTAGTTGAGTGTATGGGTGAGAGAGAACCTCTCTTTTTCTTGTTTGTTTATCGGGTTGTCCTATTGCCTGGTTGTCCAAATCCCATCTCATATACTCATTATATATGCAATGAGTCCCAGGGAAAATTGGGGCTTGAGCTCTGCTACAGACTTGTGTTTTGCTGCCTATGTTTGGCTTCCTATTGCCTTGGCAGTGGTAGGTGAGGAAAACTGTAGATTAAATGGCAACCATATACCCACCCAATAAGATTAAACCGAGTGAAAGTTAAGAATTACTGTTCCTCCCATTTTCTTTACGAGAGAAATAGGCAGCAGAATAGAGGGGTTTTCTCAACTCAGGCTCAGACTCTGGGCTCAGGGGTAGCAGGACACTCCAAGTCTCTGCCATCAGAGGTCTCATGTCATATGAGGCAATAATAAGAGAGCTCCTTGAGATCAGGGGCTCTCATTTGCCTTTCTTTGTATCCTCAGTACTTAACACAATGTCTGGCACATAATAGGTGCTTAATAAATGTTTATTGACTGATTAACAACCTGGGTACTGCTTTCTTCCTCAAATGGTTAAACAGCAAACACCCTCAATGAAACAGAGGGTGATTGAGTACTTCCTATGTGTAAGGTACCATGCAAGTTGCTCCAGGAAATGCAGACGCCATCTAGTCCCTCCCTTCATGGAGGGACTAATCTAGTGTCACAATTTAAATTTTGTTTCAGTCATTTTTGTTTTTTCTGCTCCGATTCTCATCTGATATAACAATTTTACATTTTGGTTTTATTGATATCATTTTTCTGTTTTTCCCCCAAGTATACCCAACCTCAATTCCCTTGTTTCATATTCACACAGAGGTTTTGATCCCATTACCTTTACCTTTCTCAATCCTATATCTTCTGCCAAAGTTACCTGCAAGTGGTAAAGGACAGATTAGTTCTCCACAATTGGGTTTCTGAATTATAGCACAGTTTCCAAGGTCTTTCTTCACTCTATAGTCTTCTAGAAAATTTCTTTTTCTCTAAATAATTAGAAGCAGCATTTCTTTCTTTGTTGTAAATTCCCTTACCCTACAAGAAATTTCACTAGTAACCATCTACGGGAAATATATGCACTCAGATTAAATATATAGCCCAACTAAAGTTTTATTTATCTGTTTTCTCTTTCTAGGCAGCAATAAGGAAAGAGTTAAATGAATTTAAAAGTACAGAAATGGAAGTCCATGAAGAGAGTCGACAGTTTACAAGGTGGGTTGATCAAACACTTTTTAACTTCAAATCAGCTGTTAAAAGTTTTGAAACCCTTTATGCTTTTTTTCCAAACTCCAAGTTTAAGTCCCAGAAGTATTATTATTTTAGTAATCATTACAAATGAATTAATATGGCAGTTTGGGAGCGAAGCCTGGATAACTTTTATTTTAAAATGTCTTGTTTTTAAGAACATTAAAATAACTGCATTGCATGTACAGTAATACTAAGATGTTTTCTTTTAGAAGAAACATGAATTTTTTTATTAATTTATTTTGATTTATCAATAATCACTTCCATATGCTTTTGAGTTTAAAATTTTTCTACCCTTCTAATATTGGTAGCATTGACTTTGTGCAAAATCTTTTCAATTTAATGTAATCAAAGTTACCCATTTTGCTTTTCATAATGTTCTCTATCTCCTGTTTGGTCATAAATTTTTCTATTCTCCATAAATCTGATAGGTAAACTATTTCTTGCTCTCCCAGTTTGATTACAGTATCAGCCTTTATAGCTAAATCATGAACCTGTTTTGACTTTATTTTGTATATGGTGTGAGATTTTGATCTATGCCTAGTTCCTGCCATACTTTTTTCCAGTTTTCCCAGCAATTTTTGTCAAAGAGTGAGTTCTTATCCCAGAAGCTGAGGTCTTTGGGTTTATCAAATAATAGATTACTGTAGTCATTAACTACTGTGTCTTGTATACTTAACCTATTCCACAGATCCACCACTCTATTTCTTAGCTAGTACCAAGCAGTTTTGATGATTGCTGCTTTATAATACAATTTAAGATCTGAAATGGCTAGGCTACCTTCCCCTGCATTTCTTTTTGTTAGTTCCCTTGGTATTCTGGACCTTTTGTTCTTCCAAATGAATCTTAGTATCATTTCATGGGCTCTAGCCAGGGAGCATTACACAGAGGATTATAATATCAGATTTCAAGTCAGGAAGACCTGTTCAAATCCTCCTTTAGACACTTACTAGCTTTATGATCCTAGAGAGATCACTTAACCATTCTGAGCCTCAGTTTCTTCATCTTTATAGTGGAGATAATAAAAGAATCTACCTCATAAAGTGTCTGTGAGGATCAAATGTGCTAATATATGTAAGATGCTTTGAAAACTTTGAAGTGCTATTATTATCATTGATATCACCTAATCATCTGTTATCCTGGCTCAGCTATAACCTGTTACCCAGAAAAGAAACTCTTGCTTAAGAATACTTTGAAAACTTTGGGGATTATGGAAGCAAGCCATTGGCTTCTGTCATAGTTTAGCCAGAATGAGACTTCAATTTTAGTGGCTCCTCAAAGAATTATTATAATCCTGTTCTTTTTCTTTTTGGCATCCAATACTATATAATTCAAATTTATAGCATTATAAACACACTCACATGTACACAGATACATTCTGAAGATAGAAACTGAACTTATAATTTCACTGATATAGGGAACTCTGGGATAAGAAAATTCCCTCTACCATCACAAGCTGGCACCTTCTCTGCAATTTAACAGTCTTAGAGAATTGCATAGAGTACTGGCAGGTTAAGTGATTTGCCCAGAGTCATATGGCCATTATGGATCAGAGTAGGGCTTGAACCCAGGTCTTCCTGACTTGAAGGCCAGCTTGCTATCCATTACATCATGCTGCATATACAAAATACATATATGCTTAGTTTTATCTAGCAGACTTATTTCTTAAAATTTGCATGTGTAGATTAAATTTGTGAATCAAATTATCTAAAATGAGTAATAACTTGCTATTTCAAGAAATTCTCCCTCAAACATTACTTTTGCAAACAACAATTGTTTTTGACACAAACAATATCAAAGTATATCCATGTGTATGTAGATTCAGATTTTCCTATAATATGATTCCGTATTCATAGATTATTCAAGCTGGAAAGGGACCTTAAGTAGTATCTAGTGTAGCCTCATTTTATACTGAAGAACCTGGGGCCCAGACAAGTTAAGTGACTTGCTTATGCAGTTAGTTAGGAGCCCTTATACTGGAGCACTGATATGTGCATTGGTGATTCCCTATGTATGTGGCTGTACTTGAAGTCATTGCAAAGGTTCCATGTTCAATGTGAAACAGAGCTATAATTCAAGTTACTCTGTTATTTCTAGTAATAAACCCAAGGGAACAAGTTGCAGAATAACTATTTTATAGCAAGTTCTGCTTCACAGCTAATATTCTACTATAGAACTTTTCATATTACTATATCCCCTGTTAGTTTCCCTGCCAGAAACCAAGTACTAACTGGTCTTTCCATCTCCCATGCATTTAAGCCCTCCTTCATGTCTTGTCTTCCCTAGTTACAATGTGAGCTTCTTGAGATCGGGGACCATCTTGATTTTCCATTTATATCTCTAGCTCTTAGCATGGTACTTGGCACATAGTAAGTGCTTAATAAATATTTTGCCATCCCATCTATCTATAGACAGATGTGCTATGGAAAAATAGGTCTTCTTTCTACCATGAAAAATTGTGAAGAATGAGAGAGCCTTCCCAAGATTGGAGATGGGCAAATACTATCTCAATTTTCAGAAAATGGAAGATGAATTCTTTTTCAATTAAAGAATGATTATCTTGACTGTGATTCCTTAATAAAAGTGTGGATATTATTAATTATTAAAGGAAATGAATTGTGAGCACTAAGAAATGAAAGTACTAATTATGTTAGAGTCAGAATGGTTTTGTTAAAAACAACTCATTCTAGATTAATTGCATTCATGTTTTTGAAAGGGTTACTGTACTAATAGATAAGGAAGTAACATAGACTTAGCCTTCCTATGTTTCAGCGAAGCAACTGGTAATTTTTGGTGCTTTCATTGTGGACAAGATGGAGAGATTTAAACTAGATGATAGTACAGTTAAGTGGTTTCAGAATTGTTTGAATGGACTTTTGCAAGTTTGAAAGAGCAGTCATTAATGAGTTTATGTCAGTTGGGAGGCAGTCTCTAGTGGAATACCTTAGGGATCAGCTATTAGTCCTGTGTAGATTAACATTTTTATTAATGACTTGGATGGACAGATATATGGCATTCATGTCAAATTTGCAACTGGGATAGTTAACATGTTAAGAAGTCAATACCCAAAAATATATTGACAAGTTAGAATGATAGGCTAAATCTAAGAAGAAATATGATGGGAGTAAATATAAGATTTGGTCAAAATAAAACACTTTACATATATTATATTACCTGATCTTCACCATAATGCTCTGAGATAGTTATAATTATCCCCATTTTGTATATGGGGGAACTGAGGCTTAGAAAGGTTGAGTGACTTGTTAATGTAGCCCAATTAGGCTTGGCAAGAAGGAATGACTGAAGTAAAAGAATAGTGTTCAGGTGAAGTTGTAGAAAGGTTGTGAGAGATGAAGTAGAGATGGCAGAGTTCACAACTGCTGACTTCAATTTTTTCCATAAAGTGTAGCCAGTGAGGTCATCTAGAAGAGGCCAAGAGTGATACTGGGGGCTTCAAGTAAATGAAGGTTTGGATTATCTGTTGTTTTTACCCATTGTGAACAAAATAAATAATATTAGATTTGGAGGAAGAAAAACTCAGTTTTGGCTATGAGAAAATTATTTATAATGTGTTTTTAGGAATCTAATATTAAAGGTTAGTATTTGAAGTTTTTTAAAAAGAATTAGTGGCATAAGCATTTCATAAAGAGGTGTAGCAAGATCTCAGAGTGTATCAAAGTATAAGTTCAGTGTGAGTCAGTAGCATGACCTCAGTCTTATGCAACCATAAGAAAGATGGGTTGAGAGAGAGAGAGAGAGAGAGAGAGCGAGAGAGAGAACAGCTGTAGTTAGTGATGGTTAAGCCATTTCTGGAGTATTGACTTCTGGATTGCATATTTTAGGAAGGATAATAACAAACATAATAATGAGAGAGTTGGAGACCATGTCCTACAAAGTTCAGTGAAAACAACTAGAGATGTTTAGAGTCAGGATGTAAAGAGAAGATGGAAGAAGACCAAGGGAGAATGTAATAGCTGTCTTCAAATATTCTGAAGAGCAGTCACATAGAAAAGGGATTAGGTTTGTTCTACTTGCCTCAAAAGAGTAGAACTAGGACCAATAGGTCAAAGTTATGGCATAGTTTTGGTGTAAGGGAAAATTGCCTGATGCTTTGAGTTATCCAAAAATGGAATAAGATGGAAGAGTGATTTCCATTCGTTAGAGGTCGTTTAGTAGAAACCGGATAACCTCTTCTAAGGGATGTTAGAGTTGGGATTCCTGTGCAAGTACATTCTAATTCTGAGAAACTTTGGGTTTGAACTCTGGTTCTGTTACTCATGCCCTATGGGTGTTTAGACAATTCAGTAACTTCACCTCAGTTTCCCCATTTATAATATCGATGATGTTGAAGGAAGATCTCTAATGCTTCAATTATTTAAAACTGCTCTAAGACTTTTAGAATACCCTATGTATAGAAATGTGTATATTTTCAGTATTCTATCTTATTTTTCACTGTAGGACATGTGTTAGGCCCTAATTTGAGCCCACTTAGTACCAATTCCTGTACCCACCCCTCATTCTTCCCTTCCTCCTCCCCATTTAAGGAAGGATGTGTCAAAAGTGAAATCCAGTCATTGTATTTATATGTATTCTATCACATTTGGTGTTCCTTGTATGCAGGTTATAAAAAGAAAAGTATAATTTTGATAAACAACTAAATAAACATGCACACTCAATGATAAGTTTTCATTTTAATTAAGACCAATACAATAAACATTAAGCACCTACTCTAGAGATACAAAAACCAAACGGTTTCTACCATTAAGGAGCTTATTGTTCATTTAGGGGCTATAACATGCAGAGTGTTAAGTAAATACAAAGTAATTTGGGGAGTTCAAGGGTGCTAAAGACTAGAGGGATCAGAGAAAGCTACACAACGGATTGTGAGAGGCAGAGATGAGGAGGAAATGTGTTCCAATCATGGATCTTAGATTGTGCAAGTACACAGAAAAAGGACATGGATCCAT